CTATTAGGGTTGAGAGACCAAACTGCATTTTTAATTGCCTTAGAGTTTGGAATCTTGCACAACGTTATTTTGTCCTCATGATTGACCAGAGCTTCAATATATTTCATGACAGGTTGTAAGAGGATCTCTTTTCTATGATTAAAGAGATTCTCAAAGTATTCCACAGCTTGTTTATTGATCAGCTCCTCATCTGTAATTTCTTTCCCATCCTTATCCAAAATAGATCTGATTCTATTTTTGGATCTCCTACCTTTTACAAACGAGTGGAATAATTTTGAGTTTGAATCTCCCTCTTCCATCCATTTCTATTAGCTTTTTGCCTCCAATAGCTGACCTTATTATCACATGCCAAAATGAGTTTGGCTCTGGCTTTATTGTCTTCTTCTCTGTTTTTCTCACTAGGATCCTGATCATAGGCTTGTTGAGCTTGTACAGCTGCTTCCTCTGCCTTCTTAAGATTTAAGAAAATGTTTCCAAAACAACTGATGTTCCATTCCTTTAGTTGTACTTTGAGGCTCTTCAGCTTGTTGGAAAGTCCAAGCATTCCTCCATGATGAAAACCAGTGTTCCACACCTTGGTGATCATATGTTGCAAACTGTGATGGTTACCCCAAGCATTGATGAACCTGAAGGGCTTTGGTCCCCCTTTATCTGTTTTGATGCAAGAGAGGAGGATAGGATTGTGATCAGAAGTAGCTTTGCTCAGATGTTTAGCATAGATATCTTCAAAATCATCCATAGTAAGGTTGTTCACTAACACCCTGTCCAGCCTCCTGAGCACACTGCCATTGCTTCTAATCCCTGACCAAGTGAATTTGGTGCCAATGGTATGTGGGGTTGAGAGAGAGCATTGTAAAGGTGGATTTTTTCCTTTATGCTCAGATAAATCAGCAATAATATTAAAATCCCCCCTACAACCCAGTGCATGTTTTGAGGGGTTAGATTCCTGAGCTCATCCCATAAGATTTTCCTATCTCTCCCATTGTGTTTTCCATAAACAGCAGTAACTCTTGTAATTTGCATATTGACAGTGTCCTGTAAGTCACATGTGAGAGTTTGATCCAAGTCCTGCTGGTTCATCAAGTTTAGAGACTGTCCCATCCAGAGGATCCAAATTTTATTGCTCTTGGAAGCTAAGTACTTATCCATTCCTATTTTAGTTGCATAGTCACTGATCTGAGAGGGGGAAACCATGGGCTCCAGAATAGAAATTAGCTTTATTGAGAGAATTTAATTTAAAGTTTTGATCCTTTTGAGAGAGGATCTAACTCCACAGACATTCCAGAATAACAAGTTCATTGATGAGAGTGATTTTCTGATTCTTTATGTCCCTTCTTGCTTCTAGTGACTATAGTCATTGGGGGACCCTCCTTACTAATTCTTTTTTTCCTTGAAATTTGCAGAGATGTGGCGTTTGGAGAGGGGATAACTATCTGAAAATTCTTCATGGTATTTCTGTCTGAGATGTTCTTCAAAGAGCCACTATCTGAGTGAGATCCTGAGTGACCATCTGTTTTGTGATGCCCATTGAGCTTAGGAGAAATTGATTCTGCACTTAACATGGCTGATCCAGATTCAGGGGTGAGTGGAAAAATGCAGGCTTCCAAGGACCTATTGAAATCCGTATGTGCACCTTTTTTAGGGGATGAAAAGCTTCTAAATTGATTTGCCTTTGTTTTGTCAGCATATGCCTTGGCTTCTGAGAGGGATGGGAACTGATTGATATTATTATCTTTTTCTCTATCTGCAGTGGGTAGGGTCAGTAAAGACTGCTGTGGGGCTGAAGGGGTTACCACTGTTTTGGAAGTATCCTTTTCGTAACTATCTAACAAATCATTTAGATCAGCAGAGAAAAAGGATTTTGAGGCTTTTAATTTCCATTCAAATTTTTTGGGCCCATAATCCTTCTGTGTACCATGTCCTGCAGTTAACCCTTGCCTTCCCTTTGTCCTTTTTCCTTTAGTAGTTTCCCAGCTCATTTGTTCTTCGTGCAAAATGCCCCTTTTACCCTTGCCGGAGGGGACTGTCCCGGTGGGTTTTGAAACAGAATTAGGGGAGCATTTGTGCCCAAATTTCTTACAGTGAGAGCAGTATGATGGCAGATCTTCATAGTTGCATTTAATGAATTTATCATTTCCCCCAATTCTAATATGGATTTTTGGAGGTGGGGGAATGGAAATGTCCATCTCAACACAAAATCTGGCACCATCTCTTCTGTCTCTGTTTACTGTGTAATTATCCATAATAACAGGCCTACCCAATAGACTAGCTATAGAGAAAAGAGCTTGGAAATCTATTAGGTGCAGTGGCAAATGATCTAAGCTGACCCAAACTGGATAGATAGGACTTTCCTCAATTGAGTCATAGTCTCTGGTCCATTTAAAAACATGGAAATGAATATTTTGAACATACCATATTCTTTTTTGCATAAGACGTAAGTAGTCTTTTTCCTCCTTGAATATGAATAGGATATCTCTGGTGTTAATTCTGCGCAGCTTGAACCAGTTGAAGCCCAGTTTCAGTAGCCATTGCTTTATAGTTGATAGGTGAACTTCCTGCTGGAATCTTCCAACTGCAGAGTGATGGAGCTTATTCTCCAAAATCTTTTCTTCTTCTTCATTGAAAGAAACTGATGGGATACCATTGTAAAAACATTCGATTTTTCCAACAGCCTCAACTTGATGTATCTTGAATAGTTCAGTGAAGTATTTTTTGAAGCCTTGGAACTTGGTTTTTGCTACATTTGTTGATGCCGGATAAGTTACCGGAGAGGTCGCCGGAAATCTCTCCCTTCTCTCTAACATCTTTTTGATCTTTATTATATATATATATCATATATATATATATATATATATATATATATATATATATATATATATATATATATATATATATGAAAAAATGGTGATAGAGAGAGAAAGTATTCCGGCTAAGTTCCCGGCACACTTTCTGGCAACTACGACGTCAAGCTCAGGCAACCCTACACGTTCTAAACTCTTCTCCGAGCTGTTCAAATCTGTGGACACCGATGATAAGCCATCAGATAAATCCAGCTTCAAAGGCTGTCCTTTGGTTTCCTTCTCTAAAGAAGAAGTTGAAGCCCTCTCCAACCGTTTCAAATTTGCTCTGATTGGCAGATTCCGGCGTAGACCTCCCATTGCAGTGGTGAAAAACTTCTTGATCAGGTTAGGCTTGATTGGAGGTTTTACGGTTGGTGAGCTCAACTCTAACTCAATTCTCATCAACTTTGAGCAAGATGAAGATTATCAACGTTTCTTCCTACGCAAATCTTGGACTCTTGGAAAGGATATCATGGTAGTAACCAAATGGTCTCCCAACCTTCGTCCTGATGAAGATTCTCCAATTGTGCCGGTCTGGGTGACTATCCCGAATCTCCCCATTCACCTTCATGACCAAAAAGCTTTATTCTGCATCACCTCCAAATTGGGTAAACCTCTCAAGGTTGACAACGCCACACTCAACTTCTCTCGTCCTAAAGCTGCTAGAGTGTGCATTGAGATTGACGTGTCCAAGAACCGTCATCAGAAGATCCACGTCAAGCATATCGACGATGACCTCTTTTTCCAGGTTCTGTACGAGGATCCCCCTTCCTTTTGTGACTCTTGCCAAAGGCTTGGTCACAATGCCACCATCTGCAAGGGAGCTTCCCAGCCGGAAATCCCAGTGGGAAACCAACCGCCGGCAGGAACCGTGCAACCACGTAAAGACAAGGGCAAGCTTATTGAAAATGAATGGATCAATGTGCAAAGGAAGAGACGACATGTAACACCCCAACCCGCGTAACCCAAACCCGTGAGACCGCGGACCGGTGTGCCACTGGATTGGTATCCGAATATACAGCATTTTCAAAACAATTTAAAACAAACATTCTATCAATACATATAAAAATCCATCGGAGTAATTTAAAATAAAGCAGAAGCCTTTTTAAAGTCAAACAACTTGGGATCTTGCCCGAAAACGTAATAAGCATTAAAGTTAATTAAATAAAGCATAACTACATATTAAAGAGATAGCCACGCCATCGTACATCTCCTCCTCAATGCCCTCTGGGATCGGCTCTAGGTTCATCTGTCTGATCACCTACGGACAGCAAAAAGGAAAACAACGCTATCCGCTCAGCATTGACGCTGAGTGGCACTCCATTGTAGCACAAGAATAAACATAGTAATTCAACAATTAAGATCGTGCATATGTTTATCCTTTTGATAAAAATCAATTCAACTTTAAATTCTGTTCTTTAGACGGTTGACCAACAGTCAACTTATTTTCTTTCTTTTCAAACGATTTAGGTGTTAAGGGTTTCTCATTAACTCTTTGACCACCGGTCAAACCAATTTAGACTTTCACGAAAGTCAAACCACTTAACATTTATTGCCTATGACGGAGATAGCCTCAATCCGTAATACCGAAGATAGCCTCAATTCGGTGGAGGTAGGATCCCTCGGGCGATAGCCTCAAACCCAAGATCNTTTCTTTTCAAACGATTTAGGTGTTAAGGGTTTCTCATTAACTCTTTGACCACCGGTCAAACCAATTTAGACTTTCACGAAAGTCAAACCACTTAACATTTATTGCCTATGACGGAGATAGCCTCAATCCGTAATACCGAAGATAGCCTCAATTCGGTGGAGGTAGGATCCCTTGGGCGATAGCCTCAAACCCAAGATCACAGACCCTCGTGCGCACGTCTTAACCTCACTGACCAAGGCATGCAGCCGCCCGAGCAATGGCCAGTTTCTATGTTCGACATAATAAACCAATTGACCTTAATTACCGATTAGAATTAATTAATTAACTTAACTAATTCATTAAAGTCTTGGATTTAACGATTCGGTCAAACCTACGTCGACAGAATATCCAGTCAAAGCCTAAGTCAAACGTGACCTAACCCGAGTCAAAGTCAAACCTGCTCAGTCAATCCATAATCCTCAACAATTCAATTCAAGTAATCAATTTAATTCAATTAACCAATTTAGCCAAATTATAGCATAAACATATATAACGATCCAAACCATTAAATCTATTCTAAACGCTATTAACTTCATAGTACGGACCTGGATTACGCGGAAATCGAATCGATAGCTCGAACGGAAGACAAATCAACAAAATCAAACGAATGGGTCAAATTGAGTCAAAACACGAAATCGACCAATCAATCTGGCGGTGACCGGTAGTGGAGGCGGCGTACAGTGGCGAGGCGGCAGCAGCTCCCAGAAATCACAAACAGAGGAGCAGCTCCGGTGATAGCCTCTGTCCGGCGGAGTCCCTAGCTGCAACAACGGCGAAACGGCGATGTATCAGTCTGGTGAGTCGCAGCGACCGCCGGCGAAGGTGGCGACCCGGCGTGGCGCTGCTCCAGAGGTCCAATTGCAGAGGAAATTGCGAGGAAGATGAAGATGGGATGAGGGCTAACCTGGAGTGGCGACGTGGTGTTGGGTTGCGCGGTGATTGAGCGAGGTTGGCTGGTGCGGCGAGGAGGCGGAGGCTTTGCGACGCCGGCGTGGTCGAACGGCAGGGGAGGATGACCGGCAATCGAAAATGAAGAAGAAGAAAGTCACGATGTGCGGTTCTCAGATCCGAACGGAAGAAGATAGGTTTAGGTTTTATTTAATGATCCCATTCCTAAAAGGATTGGGCTTCGGACCCAAAATACCTGATTAAATGGTCATAACATGAGCTCCAAAACTCCGATTCGCGAGCCGTCTGAACGGACGCGATCACAAAAATATTTCCTACGAGATGACATAAAAGTTGGACTTAGAATCCAAATTATAATTTTAACCCCTTTTTGGGCCCAATTCGTAATCAATTGCTCTAACAATTTAATTAATTCTTTTGGGCCAGATTTCGGGGCGTTACATTTCTCCCCCCCTTAAAAATAATTTCGTCCTCGAAATTACCTGAGTCATTGGTCGCCTAAGAGATGAGGGTACTGAGTTCGCATAGATTCTTCGGTCTCCCAGGTTGCTTCTTCCACCGCATGATTACGCCATAGTACATTTACCAAAGGTACCGTCTTATTCCTTAGTACTTTAGTTTCGCGCGCCAAGATCTTAACTGGCTCTTCTTCGTAAGACAAACTCTCATCGAGGGTTACAGCATTGGTCGACAACACATGAGTCGGATCTGAACGGTATCTACGTAGCATGGAGACATGAAAGACGTCGTGAATCTTGTTCAACTCCGGTGGCAACTCTAGCCTGTAAGCAACAGGTCCTATTCGCTCCAGAATGCGGTAGGGTCCAATGAATCTAGGGCTAAGCTTCCCTTTCTTCCCGAACCGTAGGACCTTCTTCCAAGGTGAAACCTTCAAGAATACCATGTCACCAACATTGTACTCTATGTCTCGTCTCTTTAAGTCCGCATAAGATTTTTGTCTGTCCGAAGCGGCGCGAAGTCGGTCTCTGATCACTCGAACCTTCTCCTCGGTATCCTGCACAATATCTGGTCCCTCGAGCTTACGCTCGCTAAGCTCTGTCCAACAAATCAGGGTTCGGCACTTTCTGCCGTAGAGTGCCTCATACGGAGCCATCTGAATACTCGCCTGGTAACTGTTATTATATGCAAACTCCATCAATGGCAAATAACGCTCCCAATCTTCTCCAAAGTCGATCACACAAGCTCGCATCATATCCTCGACAATCTTTATCACCCTCTCAGACTGGCCATCGGTCTGAGGGTGAAATGCCGTACTACGGTTCAAAGCTGTGTCAAAAGCCTTCTAAAGTCCTCTCCAGAACATCGAAGTGAACCGGGGATCTCTATCAGATATGATTGACAGCGGTGCACCGTGCAACCGAACTATCTCTCTAACGTATAAGTCTGCCAATTTGTCCATGGAGGAGTCACGTCTGACGGGTAGAAAATGAGCGGACTTTGTCAACCTGTCAACAATGACCCAGATGGCGTCATTCTTTCGTGAAGATCGTGGCAATCCGATCACAAAGTCCATAGTGATCCTTTCCCACTTCCATTCCGGA